TTTTTTTTTTTTTTTTAATGAAAAGGCAAGCCAAAGACTGGAAGAAAGTATTTATAATGCATATATCTGACAAACTACTTATATCCAGAGTATATAAATAACTCTTATAAAGGAAAGGATTGTTCACAGAAAGACTTATGCAGGAATGCTTGTCGCAGTTTTCTAAATAAGAGCCCCAAACTGGAAATAACCCAAATGTCCAACAACATGCAATGGAATATTGTTGTTAGTAGGTGCCATCTAATCGGTTCTACTCATAGAGACCTTGTGTACAAAAGAAGGGAACACTGCACAGTCCTGAGCTATCCTCACAACCGGAATATTACTCAGCAATACAAAGGAGTGAAATACTAATACAAAAGACTGAAAAACATTATGCTAAGTAGGAGAACACAGACACAAAAGACTTATGCACGCTGTATTATTCCATTTATATGAAATTCTAAAACAGGCAAAACTAACCTATAATGACAGAAGGCAGGTCAGCAGTTGCCTGGGGCTGAATCGAGGGGACAAAGATTATTTGTAAAAAGGTAAGAGGGAAGTTTGGGGGGTTAAGGAAATGTTCTATATTTTTATTGTGGTGGTGGGTGTAAACAGTTGTCAAAATCATACCATTGTCCCAGAAAATGTGTACATTTCATTTTCATGTAAACTTTAGTTCAATGACGTTGAGTAAAGAAAAACAAAATGCAAGTCCATATTTGTATTAGATTCAACAGACACAAAAGTATTCTGACAACTTGCTATTAAAGTTCCTAAATGCTCACTCTAAATTTTTTACTTAATTTTTCTTCCCCCATGAATAAGGAACAATTTCCCCAACTGGCTGAGGTCAATTAATCACACTTTGAGTAGCGTCAAGCTACTCCACTTTGCCAGCTATTCGGTTCTCTAATAGGTATTGTTGTGGCCTCTGCTTTCAACTCTCTGGTTCTAGAGCTGGGGGGAGAGGGAAGGAGAGGTCCGGAAAGGAGACCGGCTCACTGAGTCTTGAATGTGGGCTTGCGATGCAGCCGCAGCACTCGGTAGGTGTTGAGACCCGGCACGTCAAAGCCAGGGGACAGTCCGTAGGAGTCTAGGGGGTAGAAGTTGACAAGTTGTCCGTGCTGGGCCTCCAGCGAGAGCCAGGCGTCCCCAAGCGGCAGCGCGCACGGGAACTCGCGCGCCACGTGCAGCTGAAAGATACGGCCGCGCAGGTGGCGCAGCGCCAGCGTCCGGAATTCGGGTGGCACTAGCGCCTCCACGCGGGGCCCGAACTGGCGCAGGCGCAACTCGCCTGCTGGCCCCGCACGCACCTCGTAAAACGTCAGGTTGGCGAAGGTGAAGTAGCCCGCAAAAGGGCGCGCGCTGACTGGCGGAGCTGGGCTGAGATGGGCCTCCCGGAAGGCTCTCTCCATGGCGGGCAGGAGCACGTCGTAGGCCTGCGCCACCAGGTCAGGCCCGGACGGCCGCGGCCCGGCCAGCAGCAGCACGAGGCCCAGGCGCAGTGGGGGCACCAGGGAGAAGGTGGCGGCATAGCCGTCCAGGTCGCCGTCCTTTCGCACGACGCTGTAGCCCCGCTGCGTGTGGAATTCCCACGGCGTGCCGGTCTCGTTGGCGAAGTAGGCGCCGGGGCAGGCCAGCAGCGGCGCCAGCAGCGCCTTGGCAGCATCTGGCCGCAGGAGCTGCTGTGACCCGCTGCCCAGGAGCACCATGGCCAGCTTGGCCAAGTCTGCGGGGGTGGAGTACATCTGGCCCGACGGGCGGTACCAGCCTAGGTCGTACAGTGGCGCAGGCCGCCCGCTGCCGTAGAAACCAGCCGCCAGGCGGACACGCACAGAGGGGGTGAGATCAAAGCCAGTGTCTGCCATCCCCAGAGGCTCCAGGAGGTTCTCCACGACCCATCGCTGGTAATTGCCCTGGGCAGTGTGGGCTGCCAAGACATGAGCTAGGAGCGAGAAGGCCAGTGTGCTGTAATGGCACCTGGAAAGAGAAAGGTGGATAGTGGGACTTGGCTGGGATGGCCATCTCCAGACCTTAAAAAATCCCTCCCCGCTGCCAAGCTGTCTGAAATGCCAGCAGAGTTTTATTGGACTGAGTGAGGCTGAGAAGAAGCCTGCTTCACTGCATCGTAGGTAGACCGAGAAAAGACAAGAGATCGTGAAATACGTCTCCCTACTCTACACTTACACCACTGTCTTCAATTTGTTCTCGTGTGGTAGGTTGCATGTTGCTGTGATGCTGGAAGTTATGCCAGGCATTGCAAATACGAGCAAGGTCAACAATGGTGGACAGGTTTTAGAGGAGCTTCCAGACAGATTAGGAAGAAAGGCCTGGTAATCTACCCCCAAAAGTTAGCCAATGAAAACCTTATCACAACAGAACATTGCCCAACATGGTGCTGGAAGATAGCACAAGACCAGGTAACATTTCATTCTGTCATAGATAAGGTCACCATGAGTTGGCAGCCTACTTGATGACAACAAGACACCAATGCTACATTTGGTTGAAAAAAAAAACTAAGGCCCAGAGGGCAGGAAATGGTTTGAGGTCACACAGCAGGTTGAGGGAGAGCTGGATTTGACAAATGCACCTGGAAAAGTAAGACAATTATTATGATTCCTTTACACTTTAGTATGATTTACTTTATTGAGTGGAAAACTAGAGCGTTGGACTGTCCTGGGGTGGGGGGGTGGATAATGATCATGTAGCTCAGAGACAGCAAATATGAGTAAGGGTTCCACCCTTTTCTTCTTCCAGGCCTGTGCAGACACCAATAATCAATAAAGAGGCCTCCTTTCTTTACCAGAACAGATGCAGTTTCAGAATCTCAAAAATAGGCCTCAGGCAGGCACATGGAAGGATGAAAATTCACAAATCTTATTAAGCATTCCTGAACTCTTACTTTGCAGATGAGAAGGTGAGTGCAGAGGAAGTGCCTTGCCCAAGGTCACACAGCAAGTTCATGGCAGAACTGGAAGAACTCCAGTCTGCAGGTGCCCAAGCAATGCTCTTTTCTCTGCATTATCTGGATTCTTTCTTACTTAAGTGAGACCTTACTGGTCTGATGAAGACGGGTGGAAGCCCCAAGACTATGGCCCTTAGACACCGTTCAAGCTAGGAACTGAACTTAACCCTTGCGACTCAACTAAGGGCAAACAATAGGCCTATAAGGTGAACTGTAATATCAGAAGGGTATGCGCTCATTAGAGCAGTCAAGCATGTGACCCTGAGAGAACAGCATCTGCCCAGGGATAGAGCTAGGAAGGTGGGAGGGGATGGGAAGGAAGAACAAAGGGAAGGGGTGAGCATAGGAAGGAAGTGGGAAGAATGTTGTTAGTGTGGGCATTGCAGTAAATGTCACAAAACAATGTGTATGGATTATTGAATGGAAAACTAATTTGTTGTGTAAACTTTCACCCAGATCACAATTAAAACAAAACAAAAAAAAGATTAAGTGGGAACTGAGATTCAGCATTTGGAGAAGCAGAGAAGGGGCGAGTTTGGAAAAGGGGCACTGCTCAGGGAGCCAGGGGATCCTCTGCCAAGCCCCATAGCCTGAGTTGCTCCCAGAGTTTCTTTTCTGAATGCCCAGTGGTAACCTCTGCTACTCCCTCAATCAGTCAATGCCCCAGTTATTTCTTTCATGGCCCTGGGCAAAATCTCTAATTATCTTGTTGGTTGGGTCACTGTTTTTTGTGTGTCTCTGTCACAAGAAAGCAAACTCCATGAGGAGGGACCTGGCTGGATATGTTCACTGTTGTAGCTCAGTGTTTAGTGCACTCTGGGCACTACTAAACTCATAGGTGTTCAGTAAGTGTGGAGTTAATGAATGGAAGGAACACAAGAGTCAAACAGAACTAGACTCAGAGTCCAGCTCTCTCTTGCTGCCCCTCTCTGGCCTCAGTCTTCCCAGCTGTAGCACAAGGAGTTGTATTCTGTGGTCTCTGAGGTCTCTCCTGGCTCTGACCACTGACGACACAGGCTCTTTCCAAGCCAGGGTGAGCCTTCTATGAAGGTTCCTAATTTGTAGCAGGGTCTAAGGGCACTCTCCTCACCTGGTTCCTGGGTCCGCCACCAGTACATCATCCTTGAGCAGGCTCAGGGCCTCCTGGGTACTGCCCCTCCACAGCAGAGAAGTGGAACGGAGCCTTCTGGGCAGTCCTAGGAAAGGAGTAATGGTCACACCTGGTGGGTGGGATATGGCTGTGATATTGTTGAGGGTGGGATGGTGGGTCTCTGTATGCCTTCCCTCCCTTACCTTCAAGTGGAGTTTTAAATCACTTAATAATAGTAATAATAAATCTGCCAGGCATGGACTCCAATCCTGCCTCTTCCTTCTGCCTGTGTTTCATTAGACAAGTCACTTAGCCTCTCTGACCCCTGGCTTCTCATCTGTAAAATGGAGTAAATAATTCCTATAATATAGGGCTGATGTGAGGATTGTTGTTAGCTACTTGAGTCGGCCTCAACTCATGGTGACCACATGCACAATGAAACGAAACATTGCCCAGTCCTGGGCCATCCCAGTTTGTGGATCAGACCATTGTGATCCGTAGAGTTTTCATTGGCTGGTTTTCAGAAGCTGATTTTCAGATTACCAGGCTTTTTTCCTAGTTCATATTGGTCTGGAAGCTCCATTGAAATCTATTCAGCATCATAACACACAAGCTCCCATTGAAAGGTGCGTGGTACTTCAGGTGCGTTGGCCAGGAATCAGTCTCCTACTGAAAGGAGAGATATGTGCCACTGAACCAATAATGTGAGAATTGCTGTTGTTAAGTGCCTTCGAGTTTCCCCGGCTCATTAGCGAGCCCTCCTTGGGTTTCCAAGGCAGTATCACTACAGAAGTAGGATTGCCCAACCTTCCGAGGAGTGGCTGGTGGGTTTGAACCACCAGCCTTCTGGTTAGCAGTCAAGTGCCTTAGGCACTGTGCTACCAGAGCTCCTATGTGAGAATTAGAGAAGATAAAAGGCTAGCATGGTACCTGGCACATAGTAAGTGGTCAGTAAATAATTGCTGTCATCACCTGTAGAAGTTTAATTCTGAAAACTTCTTAAGGTCAGACCAAGCAGGGTTTGTGGAACTGGCTCCTCTGATCCCTTGGGATTTTCTGTTTATTGGATGTGATAGGTATTGGGAGGATCATCCTTTCATTCATTCAACAGTAGTTTTGGGATATCAACTTTGTACCAGGGATGGCTCCAAGACTTTTGGCCTGAGCAGTTGGGGACGTGGAGTCCCAAGTCCTGGGTTTAGGGTCTTACTGCTGCATGGCCCCAGGCCATGTTGCTAAATGACCTCTCTGAGCCTGTACTTGCTTATCTTTAAAGGGGCTGGAGCACCTGCAGTGGTTTCCTGTGAGGTGTTGTAAGACGTAAAGAGAATGGATGAAAAGCTCCAGGAACTGGAGAAAAGCTCTAGGTCAGGGTGAGGTTCAATTCTGAAAGACATTAAGAACCTAGGGCAGAGTTCTTCAGGCAGCAATTTGTTCTGCTCACCCCCTCAATACTGAAGAAACGTGGGGTGAGTTTGTTTTTTCTGAGTTTTGTGTGTGTGTGTGTGTGTGTGTTTAGTAGCTCTGGTGGTGTAGCGCTTAAGACATTTGACTGCTAACCAGAAGGCTGGCGGTTCAAGCCCACCAGCTGCCCCTTGGAAAGAAGACTGGGCAATCTACTTCCGTAGAGATACCACCTCGGAAACCCAAGGAGGGGTCGCTGTAAGTGTGTGTTTACTTGATTTTTTATTATATTATTTATTTTACTAGGTTATCTGTTTTGTTGTTGTTGTTGTTATTTGCCGTCGAGTCGGCCCCGACTCATAGCGACCCCTCCTTGGGTTTCCGAGGCAGTATCACTACGGAAGTAGGATTGCCCAACCTTCCTTCCGAGGAGTGGCTGGTGGGTTTGAACCGCCAGCCGTCTGGTTAGCAGGCAAGTGACTTAGCCACTATGCTACCAGAGTTCCTGGTTATCTGTTTATACAATTCCAAATTCATAAGACATCAAAGAGTATCCAATGAAAAGTTTTCCTCTTACCCTTGTCCCCCAGATACACAAGTCCTTTCCCTGTAGGCAATTCTGTGTTTTAATCTCTTTCAGTTTCCTTCCAAAGATATTTTATGCACATATAAGTTAATACATATATTTACGTACAATACATGCATTTTACAATATGCACATTACAAATACATTACACACATACATACGTGTACATATGTATCCAGTATATGGGTGTATTTTTGTAATGTATCTATTCATTGCTGCAGGTAGGTACCTTCAAGCTGGTTTTGGCTCCGATTGACCCCATGCACAGCAGAACAAAACACTGTCTGGTCCTGCGCCATTGTCACAATCGTCACTATGCTTGAACCCATTGTTACAATCCATCTCATTGAGGGTCTCCCTCTGTTTCCCTAACCCTTTACTTTACCAGGCATGAGATCCTTTTCCAGGGACTGGTCCCTCCTGATAACATGACCAAACTATGAGAGATGAAGTCTGGCCATCCTCACTTCTAAGCAGCATTCCGGCCATACTTGTTCAAAGACAGATTTGTTTGTCCTTCTGGCAGTCAGTAGCATATTCGGTATTCTTTGCCAACACCATAATTCACGTGCATCAATTCTTCTGTGGTCTTCCTTATTCATTGTCCAGCTTTCACATAGCTATGAGGCTATTGAAAAGATAGTGCCTTAGGTCAGGCATACCTTAGTCTTTAAAATAACATCTTTGCTCTTTAACACTTTAAAGAAGTCTTTTGCCACAGATTTGCCCACTGCAATACATCATTTGATTTCTTGACTGCTGCTTCTATGGGCATTGATTAAGGATCCAAGTGAAATAAAATCCATCACAACTTCAATCTTTTCTCCATTTATCATGATGTTGCTTATTGGTCCATTTGTGAGGATTTTCATTTTTTTTTATGTTGAGGTGTAAACTACACTGAAGACCATCGTCTTTGATGTTCATCAGTAAGTGTTTCAAGTCTTCTTCACTTTCAGCAAGCAAGGCTGTGTCACTTGCATATCACAGGTTGTTAATGAGTCTTCCTCTAATCATGATGTCATGTTCTTTATATAGTCCACCTTCTTGGATAATTTGCTCAGAATACAGATTGAATAAGTATGGTGAAAGGATACAACCCTAACACACTCCCTTCCTGATTTTAAACCATGCACTATCCCCCTGTTCTCTCTGAACAACTGCCTCTTGTTCTGTGTTCAGATTCCTCGTGAACACAACTAAGTGTTCTGGAATTCCTGTTTTTCTCAATGTTATCCATAATTTGTTACAATCCATACGGTCAAATGCCTTTGCATAGTCAATAAAACAAAGGTAAACATCTTTCTAGTATTCTTTGCTTTCAGCCAAGACCCATCTGACATCAGCAATAATATCCTTCGTTTCACATCCTCTTTTAAATCTGGCTTGAATTTCTGGCAGTTTTCTCTCTAGGTACTGCTGCAACTGTTTTTAAATTATTTTCAGCAAAATTTATATTAAAGATACACACGCACGCATGCACTGCCATCGAGTCAGATCCAACTCATGGAAACCCCTCCTTGGGTTTCTGAGGCACTATCACTACAGAAGTAGACCGCCCAACCTTCCTTCTGAGGAGGGGCTGGTGGGTTTGAACTGCCAGCCTTCTGGTTAGCAGTCAAATGCCTTAGGCACTGAGCCACCAGAGCTTCCAGTATTAAAGATATTGTTCTACAATTTCTGCATTCTGTTGGATTACCTTTCTTTGGAATGGGCACAAATATGGATCTCTTCCAGTTAGTTGGCCAGGTAGCTGTCTTCCAAATTTTTCAACATGAACAAGCACTTCCAACATTGCATCTATTTGTTGAAACATCTCAGTGATACTCCTTCAATTCTTGGTGCATTGTTTTTCGCCAGTTCCTTCAGTGAAGCTTGGACTTGTTCCTTCAATAACTCACTTCTTGATCAGATGCTACTCCCTGAAATGGTTGAATGTTGACTAATTCTTTTTGATACAGTGACTCTGTATATTCCTTCCATCTTCTTTTGATACATCCTGCATCTTTCAATAGTGTGCACATGGTGTTGTTAGGGGAGCTCTGGTACATAATGCCTAAGGCATTTGACTGCTAACCAAAAGGCTGGTGGTTCAAACCCACCAGCCACTCCTTGGAAGGAAGGTTGGGCAGTCTACTTCCATAGTGATACTGCTTCAGAAACCCAAAGAGGGATCACTATGAATAGGATCCAACTCAACGGCAGTGCGTGCATGCATGTGCATGCATGTTGTTGTTAGGTGCCATTGAGTCAGCTCCAAGTCATAGAAAACTCATGTACAACAGAACAAAGCAATGCCTGGCCCTGAGCCATCATCACAGTATTTGCTATGCTTGAGCCCTTTGCCACAGCCACTTTGTCAGTCCATCTTGTTGAGGGTCTTCCCCTTTTTCACTGATCTATTATGCCCATAGAATCCTTCAGTATCACAGCTCAAGTCTTGAATTTTGTCTTCAGTTCTTTCAGCTTGAGAAATGCCGAACATGTCCATCCCCTTTGATTTCCCAACTCCGAGTCTTTGTACATTTTATTATAATACTTTGCTTTGTCCTCTCGAGATGCCTTTTGAAATCTTCTGTTCAGCTCTTTCTCTTCATCATTTCTTCCATTCACTGTAGCTACTCTGTGTTCAAGAGCAAGTTTCAGTCTCTTCTGGTATCCATTTTGGTCTTCTCTTTCTTTCCTGTCTTTTTAATGACGTTTTGCTTTCTTCATGAGTGATATTCTTGATGTCATCCCACATTTTGTCTGGTCTTCAGTCACTGGTGTTCATTGCATCAAATCTATTCTTCCGATGGTCTCTAAATTCAAGGTTATATGTTGACACATGTGGGCTTGTTTTAATTTTCTTCAGCTTCAACTTAAACTTGAAGATGAGCAATTAGTGATCTGTTCTACAGTTGGCCCCAGGCCTTGTTCTGACTAACGATATTGAGCTTCTCCATCATCTTTTCCACAGATGTAGTCCATTTGATTCTTGTGTATTCCATCTGGTCAGGTCCATGTGTATAATTACTATTTATGTTGTTTAAAAAAAAAGATATTTGCAATGAATAAGTCATTGGTTGTGCAAAATACAAACATGTGATCTCTGGTGTCATTTCTGTCACCAAGATCATATTTTCCAACTACCAATGCTTCTTCTTTGTTTCCAATTTTCATATTCCAGTCACCATTCAATACATCTTGATTGTATGTCTGGTCTATTTCAGACTGCAGAAGCTAGTAAAAATCTTCAGTTTCCTCATCTGTGGCTTTAGTGGTTGGTGTGTAAATTTGAATAATAGTAGTATTTTGCTGAAGATAATTCAAAAACAGCTGCAGCAGTATATTGATAAGGAACTTCCCGAAGTGCAAGCTGGATGCAGAAGAGGACATGGAGCAAGAGATACCATTGCTGATGTCAGATGTATCTTAACTGAAAGCAAAGAATATCAGAAAGATGTTTACCTGTGTTTTATTCACTATGCAAAGGCATTCTGCTGTGTAGATCATGACAAATTATGGATAATATTGTGTAGAATGAGAATTCCAGAACACTTCATTATCTTCATGACAAGACTGTACAGACCAAGAGGCTGTCATTCAAACAGAACAAGGGGATAATGGATGGTTAATCAGGATGGGTGTGCATCAGGGTTGTATCCTTTCATCATTCTCATTCAGTCTGTATGCTGAGCAAATAATCCAAGAACCTGGACTATATGAAGAAGAATGCAGCATCAGGGCTGGAGGAACACTCATTAACTTGTATTATGCAGATGACACACAACCTTGCTTGCTGAAAGCGAAGATCTTGAAGTACTTACTGATGAAGATCAAAGACTATGATCTTCAGTATGGATTACTCCTCAACATAAAACAAAAATCCTCACAACTGGACCAATGAGTAACATCATAATAAATGGAGAAAAAATTAAAGTTGTCAGGGACTTCATTTTACTTGGATCTACAATCAACACCCATGGAAGCAACAGTTAAGAAATCAGATGTCATATTGCACTGGGCAAATCTGCTCCAAAAGACCTCTTTAAAGTGTTGTTAAGGAGCAAAAATGTCACTTTGAAGACTAAGGTGCATCTAACCAAGTGATGGTATTATCAGTTGTCTCATGTGCATGTGAAAGCTGGACAATAAATAAGGAAGACCAAAGAAGAGTTGATGCCTTTGAACTGTGGTGTTGGTGAAGAATACCGAAAATACCGTGGCCTACTAAAAGAACAAACAAATCTGTCCTAGAAGAAGTTCAGCCAGAATGCTCCTTGGAAGCAAGAAAGGCCAGACCTCATCTCACCTACTTTGGTCATGTGGTCAGAAGGGACCCTGGAGAAAGATACCATGCTTGGTAAAGCAGAGAGTCAGCAAAAAAGGGGCAGACCCTCAACGAGATGGATTGACACAGTGGCTGTAATGACGGCCTCAAGTATAGCAAGGATGGTGAGGATGGCATAGGACCAGGCAGAGTTTCATCTGTTGTACACAGAGTTGCTATGAATTGGAGCCAACTTGATGGCACATACCAACAACGAGAGCCATTTCTATTTCATTTTTTATGAACTGTCTATTCTATTCATGTCCTTTGCTCATTTTTCTGTTGTGTTAATGGTCTTTATATTGATCTGTAGGAGCTTATTAAGGGAAATTAAGTCTTCATTGTAGAATTGTCTACTAGTATTCACTTCTTGGCTTGCTCTTGATCTGTTAAGCAGATCTTGAACTGTCAACCTGATTTTGACCTGCCAACTGATCTTGATTTGCCTGTTGATCTAAATTCCCAGCACGTACTTCCACTTTTAACTTCCCAGGCCTTTCTATTTCTGGTCTACCACCCAAGCCTTGTGGGAGGGTCATATGGCCAGTTCAGAAAGAGCAGAGAGTGGGCCCACCCTGGCTGCATGAGAACCTGCTCCTCAGCTCCTCCACCTGAAATGGTTCCGGCTAGGCAGGATAAGGTCAGAGACTCTCACCTGAGAGCTGACTGGCCATCCTTCGGAGGGTGACAGGTGAAGGCCTTGGGGCTGGACCAGCCTCTTCTGGCTCATCCTTCAGAGTCTGCTTTTTGGGGACTGATGTCATGCCCAGCGGGTTGTTAATGGTGAAAGTGCTGGCATACCGCTCCAGAGGATCATCTAAAGAAGCTACAATGCCTTCTTCCCACAAACGGTACAGCATGAGAACTGGAAAGATCTTGGAGAGGCTGGAGATCCTGTACAGTATGAGAGCATGAGGGTACAGAGGGTACCCACCACCCACCCTGTGTCCCCAGCCTCTGATATTTCAGGAAAGAACTGAATCCACCCTTATTAAATGTCTCACCAACCTGTGGAACTGTCTTTAGGAAGCTTGAGAACATACCAGAGACAGTGGAGCTGGAGCAGTTTGAACACTTTTAAGCACCTACCCCATGCCAGTCCCTTCACCAGACATTACCCTTCTTGGGATAGACCTGGGGTGGATTGCACCTGTGTCTCTCACCAGCTCTGTGTGGCCTTGGCAGCTTGGACCTCCAGCTATGATTCTTGAGTCTCCCTATCTCCTAGGTCCCCCTCCTCTCTCCATCCCTCCTCCCTGGAGGTTGCCTGGCTGACCGGTACATGGTGTACTCATTAGGGGGTCCAGAAGTCGGGTCTGAGCCATTCTTCTTTCCAAAGTTCCCCGTCCAGAGCACAGTGTCGTTGTGGATAACAACTGCAGACATGGCAGCCAGGCCTGGGACAGACAGTGCCTGGCGCAGGATCTTGTCCACCTTGGGGGTAGGGGGCAGGAGGTTCAGAGTGCAGATGGAGTGACATACACACACCCCCACTTGTTTTGCACACCTGTGCACTCCCACAGCCACACCCTACACACAGCACAGCGCCAACCTTGCTCCCCTCTAATCTCTCCCCCAACTGCTGGAGGGGAGCCCAGTGAGGCTCCAGACCTCGGGTTCCCAGCCATGCCCCCATGGGATGGGGCCTCAGTCCCCTACTCTAGCTTCAATCAGAGCAGTTCTCCTTGAATTTGTTTTATACATAAGGCCACCTCATAAGATTTTTGCTTGAAGGAACATTTCCTTGGTTAAAACAAAATGGTTAAAATGACTGATCCAGTCTAACCCCTGTCTGATTCCATAGAGAACCTCCAATAAATCCAGTATAACCTCTAGTGTTGGGGAAACCCCACCCCCACCCCCCCAAAAAAAAATCAAACCCACTGCCATCAAGTCAATACTGACTCATAGTGACCCTATAGGACAGAGTAAAACTGCCCTGTAGGGCTTCATTTCTTCCTCCGCACCCACCCCATAGGGTTTCCAAAAATGTAAATCTTTACAGAAGCAAACTGCCTCATCTTTCTCCCATAGAGCAGCTGGTAGGTTTGAACCACCAACTTTTTGGTTAACAGCCAAGCACTTTAACCACTGCACTTCCAGAGCTCCTTTTAGTGTTGGGGAATTCACTATTTATAGTCCACCTTTGGACTTTTGTTGAAAACACTTCATTCTTTTTTCCTTTTTTTTTTTATTTTATTGTGATGTGGGTGAAAATTTACAGAGTAAATTCATTTTGCATACAGCAGTTCACATACACTTTGTGTCATGACATCGACTGCAGTTTCCCGCAATGCAACAGCTCCCCTCCCGCTTCCTCCCCATAGTTACCTCTTCCTGTGTCCTTCCCTCCCATGAACTCCTGTCCCCCAAGATGTCTCCCTGTGCATACACAGTCTTTCTGTTCTCCCATGATCTCTCCAAGGAGTGTATCTACCTAATGTAAATGTTCAGCTCATATGTCTGTGTTTTGGCTGGAAGTCACAGGAGTGGATTTAATTCCAGACCTGAAGGGCAGCTAGGGGCCAGTCTCAGGGTTCCACCAGGCTCTATCAGACCAGCAAACCTGGTCCCTTTTTTTTTTTTTTTTTTAATGATTTTGAGTTTTTTCCTCATTGTTCTCCCACTCTATCCAGGATCTCCTACATAGATCCCCTCTGAGTGGTTCACAGTGGTAGCTGGGCACCATCTAGTTCTTCTGGTCTCAAAGTTTGGTCTCATAGGCTGAAGATAGCATGGTTGAAAATGCTTCATTATTTTTAATGATGAGATATAGTGATGATAATAATAACAGCTAAGGAACGCTGGTGGCATAATGCTTAAGAACGTGGCTGCTAACCAAAAAGTAAGTAGTTTGAACCCACCAGCCACTACGTGGGAGAAAAGACCTGGCAATCTCCTCCCATTAAGATTTTGGCCTAGGAAACCCTGTGGGGCAGTTCTACTCTATCCTACAGGGTCACTATGAGTCAGAATCCACACAACAGCACACACAGCTAATATTTATTAGATATTTAGAGTGTGACCAAACCAAAAACCAAACCAATTGCTAGTGAATCGATTCCTATTCATGGCAACCTCGTGTTGCACAGTAGAAGTGCATGTCATAAGCTTTTCACAGCTGTGGCCTTTTGGAAGCAAATTACTTGGCCTGTCTTCCCAGACACTTATGGGTGGGTTTGAACCACCAAGCTTTCAGTTAGTAGTTGAGCATTTAAGCATTTATGTCACCCAGGGACTACTATAGCATGATGTGAATGTTGTCTCTTTTAATCCTTGTTATAAATCAGAGCTAATTTCTCCCCATTTTACAGATGAGAAAAATTGCATTTCAGATATGTGAAGTGACTTGTCCAAGTGGTTAGCCACTGGTGGAATCAGGATTTAGAATCCTGGGCTGACTCTAGACCTTGGCTTTTAATGAACCACCAGACCACTGAGCTGAGTGATTTTACAGATCCTGAGCTGAGCTCTGATTGCCTGTAATTTCCACTCCACCTCTCCAAACCTCAGTTTCCTCCTCTGTAGCTCCAGATTAATAATAGTACTTCCCTCTCGTGGTTGTTGGCAAGATTCACCAGGTAATGCATACCAAGGATTGAGCACAGCTGCTGGCACCTACTAGATGCTCAACAGAAGGTAGCTATAGTTGCTATTACTGCCTTTTTATTATGACCCCTGGGAGCCACCTAGCACCCTTTTGCACCCTTCCCTTCATGGAAACTTTTGAGGTGTCTCCAGACAGTTGCTGTGTCTCTCCTCATTGGCCTCAGACAATGAGGACTGTAGACTCATCCTTTCCTGTCTTTTCAACTGTTCCTCATAACGTTTCAAGTCCCCGCATCAAGCTGCTGCTCATATCCTTTTGATCCCATTGTCATTTGTATGTACAGCTCCTAAGGTAAGTTACCAGAGTCAGAGGTGTTTGACTGGTGCATACTAGAGCTGGCTGACACCTCCCTCAGGTGTTATGCCATTTGTATTGACATTAGTTGTATTATGTGTGAGTGTGTGTGCATGTGTGTGTGTGCTTAATCATATTGTAAGGTACTCTGTGATATCAGTCATACTCTCCTGTCTCATCTTTCCCCACTCTCACCTCTGATTCAGCCAGACTGAACTCCCTCAAAGTTCATCTGTATGTGTCTTGTACTTACTGTTGCCTCTGGGCCTTTGCACATGCTGTTCCCTCTGTCTGGAGCACACCCTCCCTTCCCCCATACCTCACCACACACACATCATCTGGGTCTCCCCTACTTGTTCACATCTGAGCTTAGACAGAAGCTTTCCCTGACCCCAAGTCCAGTTCCTCTGCCCACCCCCACACACAGCCCCTAAACTTTCCCTACCCTTACTCTTACCCTGTTCTAAACTTGCCCTATCCTTACTCTTACCCTGTTCTGTAAGTATATGTCATCTTGACTCTTCCCCTTACTTTCAGACTAGTAGCTTCTTGAGGGCTGGACAGTATTCTCTTCCTTTCATATTCCCAGTGCCTAGCACAGAGCAGGTACTCAAAAATTACAAGTTGAATGAGTGAGCAAATTAATGAAAGCCACTCCCAGTGCAGAGGAAGTGCCCTCTCTTCCATCACTCACACACCCGGTTCCCTCCTGGGTCATCACTGACCTTCTCCAGGGCCTCCTTCAACACGGGGAGAGGATGAGTCAGGGGCACAGGCTCAGGGTGCCGGGGACACATCCTCACAGGGGCAGAGGTCACATCTGGTCCTGAGGAATCTAGAAGAACATGTGGTAAGCAGGGGGCAGAGGTCAGGATACAAGTCCAGGGTCAGCCTGGGGGAGAAGGGAAGGTGGCAGCAGAGGCCAGAGCCGCCTCCAGGGCCAGTCTTCCTCAGCCTGCAGCAGCCTTACCCAAGAGACATCAGGGACAGAGACTACCTGCGGGCAAATGAGGGGCAAAGGGCAGAGTATACCCAGGAGGTGAAGGGATAGTTCCACCCTGGCCACCCGCAGCTTAGCGTTCACTTAGGTCACCATTCCTGATGTGTAAAGTCACTGTGCTCCCTCCTCTGATATGATCAGCTTCCAAGCTCCATGTGGTCAGCAGACTTGACAAAGCCCAGCTCCTTGGTGTAGGCTCAGCCATGTCTGCCTGTGTGTCTCTCCCTCATCCTAATTCTATGTGTTTGGGTCAGGTAGTAGGTTGAATAGTGCCCTCTCCACCCCCTCTCCAAATCCATGCCCACACAGAACCTCAAGTGTGACTATTATGGATTGAATTGTTTCCCCACCCCACCCCCCAAAAAAAATATATGTGTTGTAAACCCTAACCTCTAAAGCTCTACAGTCTAGGAAACCAGCTCTACTCTGTCCAGTAGGGTCACCATGAGTCACAATCAGCCTGACAGCAATGAGTTTAACATTTTATTTACTATACCTTATGGCACTGTTTGGGAGCTCTGGTAGCGTAGTGCCTAAGGCACTTGACTGCTAACCAGAAGACTGGCAGTTCAAACCCACCAGCCACTCCTCGGAAGGAAGATGGGGCAATCTACTTCCATAGTGATACCGCCTTGGAAACCCAAGGAGGGGTCACTATGAGTCAGGGCCGACTCGATGGCACATAACAACAACAACAACATGCCTGTGGTTACAATCTCATCTGGACTGAGTTGTCTTTGTTATGTTAATGAGGCAGGATTAATGTATACAGTGTCTTGAGTCATTTTCTTTCAAGATAGCGAAGAGATTAAACAAGTAAGTGAGCAAGCAGAGACGGGGGAAGAGAGATGCCAAGCCACATGGAGATGTCCAGGGAGCCAAGAAAGAAGCTGAAGAGACAAGAACCTTCCCCTGGAGACTTCCCTGAGAGCCGGTACCCTGAATTCAGACTTCTAGCCTTCTGAAGTGGGAGAAAATAATTTTCTGTTGGTTAAAGCCACCTCCTTGAGATATGTCTGTTGTAGCAGCACTGGCAGACTAAGACAGTGGTGCAGATCTCACCTTGTTCTCTAAGGGCAGCATGGGGGCGTTGAGCATGAGGACCTCCTCAGGATCTACATCTGTCTATATCCAGAAACAAAAGGACAAATATCGTATGATCCCACATGTGTGAAATATCTAGACTAGTCAAATGCATAGAGACAAGGTAGATTAGTACTTACCATGGAAACCTGACCTCTGAGACTCTACCCACGTGTGGGCCCTGTACTAGATTCAGTATAGCCACAAATGCTTTCTGTGCCCCCTTGAATCTGGCTGTCCTGTGACTTGCTGTGGCCAATCAAATGAGGCCAAATTGATTGTGCAACTTCCAAAGTCAAGCCTTAAGAGGCCTTGCAGCTTCTGCTTTTGCTCCCTGGGAGCACTGCCACCTTGTGGACAAACCTGGGATCACTGCCATGAGAGAGGCTCAGTTCTTCCGGACCATTCACTCACTGGGTGAAGCTGCAGGAGAGAGCCCAGCAAGTCCTGCAGCAGACCTGCCAGCCAGCCCACGGAATGGTGAGAAATAATAAATCACCTTGTTTAAGTCAGTAATGTTGTTGTTAGATGCTGTCAACTTTTGACTCATACCAGCCTCAAGTGAAGAGTAGAACTACCTCTATAGGGTTTTCTAGGCTGTAATCTTTACAGTGGGAGAAAGACCTGGTGATCTGCTCCCATAAAGAATAAACCAAAATCACACCCACTCCCGTCAAATCAATACCAACTCTTAGCAACCCTATAAGACAAAGTAGAACTGTGCCATAGGGTTTCCAAGGCTGTAAATCTTTACAGCAGCAGTGCCTCATCTTTCTCCCATGGGGTGGCTAGAGCCTAATTGTCCTGGGATAGAGGTGGAGTGGGGTATTGTGATAGTCAACTTGGCTGGGCCTGGTTTTGAGTTGCTGGGTGATTGGATATAGTTATTCCCCAAAATGAGACTGGTAGTCAGCTCCATGGTGGAATCTACCGTGAGCAGCTGGGTAGCTGCTTCCAGTATATAAGAAGTTTTGAGAAAGGTCTCTGAGCTTTTTTGCACATTTGAATGCTGCATTTGGCCGAGGCTTCATCTCAGTGACCTGCCATGTTGTCTGCCAATCTTGAGAATGTTTCTGGACTTGAACTAATGGCCTGCCATGTTGCTTGATAATTTTGGGATTGTGCCATTTTACTTGTCGACCTCAGGTTTGTCAGCCTCAGCAGCCAGCAGCTGCCTAAGAGAAGCCTCCAGCTTCAGTGGGCAGGAAGCAAGAGGCAGAGCTGAAGCCCAAGGTCAAGGGGCTTTCACCAGCCCCAAGAGTTGGCACTTTGAACTCAGACTTCTAGCCTCCAGAATAAAAAAAAAAAAAATCGCTGTTCATTAAAATCACCCACCTGTGATGTTTTCTGTTAGCTCAGCTCTAGAGAACCATGACAGGTATCTACAGCCATGCTGTGTGTGCACACCTGAAAAATCACCTGGGAGTCTTGTCTTTGCAACTGTCACCACAGTTCATTTCCAAAACTTTTTCATCACCCCAAACAGAAAGAAACTCTATGCATTTGCCTATCCTAGATATTTCATGTAAGTAGAGTCACATGTGTCTGGCTTACTTAAGTTTCATCTGGAAATCATAAAATGCAGATTTGACTCAAAGATATGGATTGGGACCTTAGAGTCCTCACGTCTAATAGTCTCTCAGATGATGCTCAAGCAAGAGGGAGGACCTAGATCCATGTGGTTCATGGACCCAGAGGTGACTCATGAACTGTTTGTTCCCCATTTGTGACAAATTAAGTACAAAACTGAAGAGAAAGCATGTAGAAACATTTATAGCAGTTTGACAGTAATTTTATGTCTATTCAGTCTACGAATAAAAAATGTGGGCTTATGAGACCAGAAGAACTGGATTGTACCCAGCTACCATGAGTGAACATTTTGATCAAAGATTCTATAGAAGAATCCTGATAAAAAGAGGGGGAATGTAGAACAGAATTTCAAATTTTCATTGGATGCCCCAAAACCTGAGATAATCGTTAAAACTTAAACCAAAAATATCCACTTAAGTCTTCTTTAAACCAAACAAGAGTTTAGCTTAACAGGTACAAAGGACTGCCTTGAGTACTGTGTGCTTTTCAGAACTATCTACATGGGTCAAATTAACAACAGCAACTGGAAAGATCAGATAGAAGCCTCAGGGGCAGTGAGTCTATGTTAATGGGAGAGGAACAGCTCAGAAAAGGAGGGTGAGAATGGACACACAACTTGGAAGAATGGAATCAATCAGTGTCACTGAATTGTACCTCCAGGAGTTGTTGAACTGATGTATGTTCTCCTGTGTATGTTCTCAACAGGAACAAGAAAAAATAAAAATTTTTAAATGTGGGCTTATAGAGACATACCTCAGAAATACTGTAGGTTCTGTTCCAGACCGCCACAATGAAAGAAATATCACAATACACCATCACATGATTTTTTTGTTTCCCAATGCATATAAAAGTTATGTTTACACTATACTGTAGTCTAGTAAGTATGCAGTGTTGTTGTTGTTGTTGTTAGGTGCCGTCGAGTCGTCTCCTACTCATAGTGATCCTATGCACAGCAGAAGGAAACACTGCCCAGTCCTGTGCCAGCCTCACAATCCTTGCTATACCTGAGCCCATCATTGCAGCCCTGTGTCAACACATCTTGTTGAGGGCATTCCCCTCTTTCGTTGACCCTCCGCTTTACCAAGCATGATATCCTTCTCCAGGGAATGGTCCCTTCTGACAACATGACCAAAATAGGTGAGATGAAGTTTGGCCATTCTCACTGTCAAGGAGCAGTTTGGCTGCACTTCTTCCAGGACAGATTTGTTCATTCTTTTGGCAGTCCATGGTACTTTCAGTATTCTTCGCCAACACCACAACTCAAAGACATCAACTCTTCTTTGGTCTTCCTTATTCATTGTCCAGCTCTCATATGCATATGAGACTGTTGAAAATACCATGGCGTGGATTAGACACACCTTAGTCTTCAAGGAGACATCTTTGCTCTTTAGCACTTGAAAGAGGTCTTTTGCAGCAGATTTGCCAAGTGCAATACATCATCTGATGTCTTGACTGTTGCTTCCATTGGTGTTGATTATAGAAGCAAGTAATATGAAATCTTTAACAATTTCAATCTTTTCTCTGTTTATTGTGATGCTGCTTATTGGTCCAGTTGTGAGGATTTTTGTTTTCTTTACATTAAGATGCAATCCATCCTGCAGACTGTAGTCTTTAATCTTCATCAGTAAGTGCTTCAAGTCATCCTCACTTTCAGCAAGCAAAGTTGTGTCATCTGTGTATCACAGGTTGTTGATGAGTCTTCCTCCAATCCTGATGCCACGTTCTTCTTCACATAGTCCAGCTTCTCGGATTATTTGTTAAGCATACAGAATGAATAACTATGGAGAAAGGATACAAGCCTGATGAACTCCCTTCTTGATTTCAAACCATACAGTATTCCCTTGTTCTATTAGAGCAACAGCTTCTTGATCTATGTACACGTTCCTCATGAGCACAATGAAGTGTTCTGGAATTCCCATTCTTCTCAATGTTACCCATAATATGTTATGATCCACACAATCAAATGCTTTTGCACAGTCAATAAAACACAAGTATACATCTTTCTGGTATTCTTTGCTTTCAGCCACAATCCACCTGACATCAGCAATGATATAGCCCTTGTTCCACATCCTGTTCTGAATCCAGCTTGCATTTCTGGAAGTTCTCTGTCAATACACTACTGCAACCATTTTTAAATTATCTTCAGCAAGATTTTACTTGCA